CTACCAGTCTAGCCCCACCTTAAACTGTGTTAACATTTGAGATAAACTATGCAGTCTTGGATTTTAATCCATAGGATGGAAAAACTGAAATTCAAAAAGGTGAAGTTGAAGTAAGATAAATTATGATGCCTCCTTTGTAACTTACTGTGTGACTTTGAGTTGAACTCTTAGTTCTTAAGTTTTCTCATCTGTTAAAAAAGTACATAAATACATGGCTGGTCACCCCCAAAATTATGATTTTCTTTTTTTTTNAATTATGATGCCTCCTTTGTAACTTACTGTGTGACTTTGAGTTGAACTCTTAGTTCTTAAGTTTTCTCATCTGTTAAAAAAGTACATAAATACATGGCTGGTCACCCCCAAAATTATGATTTTCTTTTTTTTTACAGTTTCCGTGGTATTTCTTTGTTGTTCTGTTAGTACCAGTTATGGTGTGTGTCACTTTTTGTTTTTCATTATTTTTTTTAGTACGTTGAGTACATTTTCCACTACTAGGTTACTATTATTTTTAAAGTGGTGCCCATGACTTTTTACTATATTGCTCAATATAGTGAGTATAGTACCTTGATGCAGGGACTGCTCAATAAATGTTAAATGGGTAAGTCAATGTGTGAATAAATTTTGGAAATAGGTGCACAGGTAAAAGTGATTAAACCAAGCTAAGTACTGTCACAGAGAAGGAACAAGTATCATTTCTATTATAGACCCCAGAGCTTCAATCTAACTTCTGTTGCTGTGTTTACCTGTCCAATATATTGGCTGATTGTCCTATGAGATAACAACTGGCCTGAGTTAGAATTTACAAATACTGATCCAAATCTGTAATAGAGCTTAAAAATTAAGTTTTAAAAACATTGAGGAAAGATAGGACATAATAAAAGTTTATTTGGGGCATAAAATTTGAAGGGCATGTTCATCAATAATTCATCAACTCTCTTTGAAAGGGCCTTTAGCATAAGCACTTCTGTTTTGTACCATTAATCAATTCTAGGTGACATTGTTAGGAACAGATTTTGACAAGAGACTTATGAAAGGGATCCATTTGCCTAGGGTTTTACTTATAAAGGTAGAATTAAAATCATTTCTAGAAAAAAATTTAGCATACTAAGGAAATATAACAATTTGACATATTGAACAATCACTCTAAAGAGATATGAGTAAAAATGAAAAAGAATGACTGATAGTTCATATCAAAGTATACATTGGGATATTATTGTCACATCTATCATTTAGCTATGCAGTACAGTTAAGTTCTTAATTCAAGTGTGACCTACCTCAAGAGTGTTATTCAACTTCCTCGTGATTAATACTACTAAACATAACAGATTTGTTAAATTTTGAAGGTACTAAAAAATAGAGGATGCGTATGACCCAAAATTATTGGTAGAAGAGCCAGTCAAATAAGATCTTCCATGAATCCTCTTTCAGTTGGTTTGCCAGTTGATAGATACATGAAA